TCAGTGGAAAATTTCGACTCTATTGTGCCAGTATTGCTGTTTTTCTCGACTGATAAATGTAGGGTCCATGGTGACCCCTGCCAGTCAGCAGCCAAGGAGCGCACGCTTTCACGGAATTTCACAGAATATTATATTATTCTTATTTTATACAAAACATATATTTTAAAATATTAAATATAATATAAATAATAAAAATATATTCTGTGAATAATAATCTGTGTAAATCGAGCTCTCAGAAGAAAAAGGACTTATTTCTATTTGTTATCTCTTGTTATTTCTATTTATCTCTTTTTTTTATAACCGACTAATTGATTGTATTATAAAATAATGCGCTTGAAATAAAAATTATTAAATTCTAAATAATCGAAGTGTGAATTGTTTGAGCTTCCATAAAAAAACCTACATAAACATGTCACCTAAACCGCGAAAAAAAAAGCGCCATTGATCTTGCCTTAAAAAGGAAAATTTTGGACGAAGTTGCACGTGGAGTGTTATCCAAGTCGCAAATTGCCGAAAATTTTCAAATTGCGAAACCCAAATATAGGATACTCTATGCATACTGCATATGCTGCATACACATAAACATTGTATGTACCAAGTATATTATGTAAGTTGTTTCTTTTGTTGTTCTTTTTTATTTGTGTTTTAAAATAAACTTATATTCTCATGTTATTGCCTTACATTGTGATTATATTATCCATATTGTCTTTTAAAATAAAATACTTTATGTACATACATATTCATAAATGTTGTTCCTTAAAATTATAAAATATTTTCATTAATATTGTTTTCAAATAAATTTATTCGTTATTCCTCAGAAATGTAGTTTTCTTACTCATCAGTAGTACATAAGTACAACCCCTGGATACCACGAATTCAATTCGTCTAATACGAATTCGGTATATATTCTTTTAAGACGAAAAGGGTATTTCGTTCTCCCGTTGAGTTCGTCTTAACGAGGGATTACTGTAGTCTAGATAACTTAGCTTCATTTCGTCTAATACGAATTCGGTTTATACGAATTCGGTATATATTCTTTTAAGACGAAAAGGGTATTTCGTTCTCCCGTTGAGTTCGTCTTAACGAGGGATTACTGTAGTCTAGATAACTTAGCTTCATACTTAACAAGAAAAACTACATAGAAGGATAATACTTAGGAATTAACTGAAATTACCAACTGAACATATTGTTGCGTTGTTGGTTAACAAAGAATAACTTCCGTGGGTACAAAGGATCTTTAGGACTTTATTTAAGCCTAATCGATAAAAATAATTACAGAAGAGCGCAAAAATAAAACAACAATAAAGAAAACAGCAGTTACAAACTCACCAACTGCAGCACGGTGAGGGAAAGCAGGAGCAGAACAGGAGACAGAAGTTCGTAGAACCTTCTAGAATCTTCCAGGAAGTACACCGGCGTCGGCGGTAGGCATCAGTCCGGACCTCTTGAGACAGCAGCTTGCTTGGAGTACACCACGTAGCTTCGTTCTTCGACTTCCCTTCCATGAGTTCCTCATCCCTATATATACCGGAGTAGATCTTTCCAGAACGGTCATGGTTGGTTAGCCAATCACAAAGCCGCCCGGCTTTAGCATTGCGCAATCGCTACTGATTGGCCAATCCGTTGTTCTCCGATTTTTCTACCTTTTTCTAGAACGTTCTAAAACATTCTCTTCTGGAATGCGCCATTTTTCTTTTTACGTAACACTGCCCTCTCCTTAGGACTGATCGTCCCGAACAGTCCATTGTTCTGGAACAGAGCCTCTGAAAGGTGCTAATCGGTTGTAGTGCACAACTTTGGGTTTAGAAGTCCGGGTCTTCTGAATTCGATAGATGACATCATTGAGACACTTGATGATCTTGTAGGGACCTTCCCACTGATACTGAAGTTTAGGAGAAAGTCCTTTCTTCCGTTGAGAATTATGGAGCCAAACCATTTCACCCTCTTTGAAAGTCTTGTGGGAAGTCTTGACGTTTTACCTGTCTTTCATTTTCTCACTGGAAAAGTGAAGCTTTTCTCTTGCCCACTGGTGAATGGTCAGCATCCTTCCTTCTAGGTGAGAGATGTACTCATTTGTGTTTTCGAAGGTTTCTTCTGGACGATAAGCCATCAGGAGCATGGTAAGATGTTGATCCCAGTCTCTTTGATTTTTGTCAACAAACATGGTCAGGGGTTGTGTAAGAGTCCTGTTAAAACGTTCAACCATTCCATCAGATTGAGGATGCAAAGGTGTAGTTCTTGTTTTCTCAATGCCCAGTCGTCTACACAGTTCTTGGAAAATATTTGATTCGAAATTTCTTCCTTGGTCGGAATGCAGAATTCTTGGCACACCAAAAATGCAGACCCAATCTTGCAGTAGCGCTTCGGATACAGTTGAAGCCTCTTGGTCTGGAATAAACTGCGACAGGCCATTTAGTGAAGTAATCCATTATTACCAGGATGTACTTATTTCCTAGGTCGCTTTTTAGGAAAGGGCCCCACAACATCAATTGCAATCCGTTCAAATGGGGCACCTACATTGTAGATCTTCAACTTTCCTTTGGATCTTGTTGTCGGTCCCTTTCTCGCTGAACATTGCGTAGTTTCTGCACCATTTTTCGACATCAGTTCGACTTTCTGGCCAAAAAAATCTTTCTCTAGCTTTGGCCGATGTTTTTCTGATGCCGAAGTGACCTCCCGTGGGACTGCTATGCATCTCCTGGAGAGCCAAAGGTACATGAGATCTGGGTAACACTAACTCCCAGGATTCATGCTTTCCATCCTCGCTCTCCCATTTCCTGTATAAGACACCATCTCGCAGGGTCAAAGAATTCCAGAGGGACCAGAGACTTTTGGTTTTAGGACTGTACGGGGCCACATCTTCCCAGGATGGTCTTTGATCTGATTCCTTCCAATTTATCATTGGCAAGAGATCTCGGTCTTAACGTTGATATTTTCTTAAAGCTTGTCCAGTCCAATGTTGCTCTTCTACTTCATTGCTTTCTTGCACTGTAACTTGCCTTACGCCATATTTGTCTTCAGCCCGAGCACAATGTCCACATTGTGGAACACATGGCCTTCTTGAAGGTGTTTTGTGCGCATATCAATGTTGAGAACTGTAGTTCTGTTAAGGCAATAAAATATATTTGCAAATATATTAATAAGGGCAGTGATCAAGCTATTATTAATTTACGCAGAGAAGGTAGAGGTCTTGACCCTCAAAATGAGGTGCGAATGTATCAGTGTGCCAGATACATAAGAAGCAATGAAGCTGTTTGGCGTCTTCTCAGCTTCCCTTTACACCAACGCCATCCAGCTGTTATCCATTTAGCTGTGCATCTTGAGAATAGAGAACGGATATATTTCAATCAAAACACTCTTGCCAATCAAATGCGTAATCCACCAAGGACAACCCTGACTGCATTGTTTTCATTATGCCAAACTGATTCCTTTGCTATGACCATGCTCTATCCAGATGTTCCCAAATACTACACTTGGAATTCTTCTGCCCATAAATGGAGAAGGCGAGTTCAAGCCAAGCCGGTTGAAGGATGGCCAGGAGTGAAAAGATCAGACACTATTGGACGGGTTTACCCTGTGAATGTCAGTAACTTTGAATGCTTTTGTTTACGTATGTTACTACATAACATCAAGGGACCACCTTCCTTCACATATTTGAAGATTGTTAATGGCAGGCAATACGAAACATTTAGAGATACATGCGCAGCTCTTGGATTATTGGAGAATGATAACCATTGGGTTGTCACAATGGATGAGGCCATTCTTTGTCAGGCTCCTACAAGAGTAAGGCAATTGTTTGCCATATTAATTTCTACGTGAACAATTTCAAACCCTCAGCAGTTATGAATTACATATAGAGATTAGATGGCAGGTGATATTCTTCATCGTTATCAACTTCTAGATTCCTCCATCAGGTATAATTATCTGATATATAATGAAACATTGTGTGACATTGAGGATCGTGTCGTATCTATATGTGGGAAGAAGCTGCAGGAATTAGGTTTAGAAGCACAAGGAGAAATGTGGTTACCAATTCTGACATTTTGAGAGAACTAGCGTATGATACGGCAGAACTTGAATACAATGTTGCATCCATGAGAGAGAGAGAGAGAGAGATTCCCAAACTCTCGCCAGAACAGAGAAGAGTTTTTGATGCTGTTTTAGCAAGAATTAATTTGTCACAAGCCATAATTAATTTTTTAGATGCGCTGGGTATAACAGGTAAAAAATATCTTTTGAATCTTCTATTAGCAATGGTTAGGAAGGAACAAAATATTGCCATTGCTGTTACTTCCTCAGGGATAGTTGCGACATTGCTTGCGGGGGGGGGGGGGGGGAGGACTGCACATTCAGTGCTTAAATTACCACTGACTTTTGCAAAGGGCCAGACTGCTGTCTGCAATATACGAAAAAATAGTGATAAAGCTTCACACTTACGTAACTGTAAGTTGCTGGTTTGGGATGAGTGCACCATGGCCCATAAAATTGCCTTGGAAGCCCTTGATCGGACATTACGAGATATCTGTGATGATCCACAACCCATGGGAGGTTTAGTAGTGCTTTTGTCCGGTGATTTCCGACAGACTCTTCCAGTAGTTACTAAAGGTACACCTGCTGATGAGCTGAATGTCTGACTAAAGTCTTCTTATCTTTGGAGCCATATTGTGAAAATGCATCTCAGAGTCAACATGAGAGTTCAACTCCATAATGATACCACTGCTGCACAATTTGCTGACGAACTCTTAAAGATAGGAGAAGGGCGACTAGAAACTGATTCCGAGGGTAACATCCAGTTTTCAAATACCTTTTGTCAAGTGGTATAATCTTCAGAAAGTCTGTATGAGAAAGATTTTCCTAATATATGTGTAAACTATTTATTTGAAGAATGGTAATGTGTGCGCCCTATTTTAGCCCTCAAAAATAGCACTCTGTGATAGAAATCTACTTATATATTTGCCTTATTCTGTCTGTCTGAAGCTCACGGATGGGATTTTTCATAACCATCGGTGGTTCAGTGGTAGAATGCTCGCCTGCCACGCCTGCCGGGTTCGATTCCCAGCCGATGCATTTTTTTTTTTTACAATTTTTAAAACTCATTTATATATTTATTTATTTATTCTTATGAGGTGATACAGCAGCGTATTTACAATTAGAGAGGAGACAAAATGAATTAAATCTAGAAAAAAGAAGTGAGGACATATCGGTCATTAAAGTCTGAGAGGCAAGGCCTTCAGCCAGTAATGTAGCTGCTGTATTGTCCGTGAGGTCAAGAGACGTACGGACCTCTGTGGTGTTGATCTCTTGGCGGAACGACTTGGAATTCGGACTCGGGCCCCCCCACTATATATTATATTTAATATAAATATAATTTTTTTATAAACATTTTTTTTTTTTTTACAATTTTTAAAACTCATTTATATATTATACAAGAATGACATCCACGGCGCCAATTTATAATTGTAACGAATAGTATTTGAATAAAAGCATTTAATCGGGTAAAACCCGGGCGTTGCCCGGGTCATTCGTATATAATAATTGTATAAACGAATGCAATACAAAATCACCGCGAATGTTCCTTTTTTTAAGGCAATTTCTTTTTAAGGCAATTATCGTTATTTATCGTTAATTTTTGTTTCGATTTTATTGAAAAAAAACGATATGGTGCCTTTAAAAAATTATCTTTATTACTATGCAGTTTTCTATTTAGTCAATATACCTAAGTTCATGTTGCAAATGTAATTATCTCTATCGATTTAGTAGGTGAAATGCAAAAAAAAAAATCGACATGATGAAATCTTTATGAAAATTCACATTTTTATTTTTATATTTTCAAGACACACACAGTTTGGGGCGGGACGTTTCACAAGAGAGACATCCACGGCGCCAATTTATAATTGTAACGAATAGTATTTTAATTAAAACATTTTAAAAACACACAGTTTGGAACGGGACGTTTCACAAGAGTGACATCCATGGCGCCAATTTATAATTGTAACGAATAGTATTTGAATTAAAACGTTTTTAAAATATATACGCACTCGGGTAAAACCCGGGCGTTGCCCGGGCCATTCGTCTAGTAAATAATAAAATATTAAATTCAATCCCGGGTGAAAGCAAAGTTTATAGATCAATTGATACAATAGTTGATCCTGATGAATCTGTGTCGTATCCCCTTGATTCACCCCGTCTCTGCAATGGCACTAGATTATGCATCACTCGAATGGGCACTAATGTTCTCCAGGCTCGAATTTTAACTGGCTCTTTTCGAGGGGAAGAGGTCCTGATTCCTAGAATACTTATTTTTCCAAATGATCTGCCTTTCAAGTTTAGACGCTTGTAATTCCCAGTTATGGTAGCCTTTGCTATGACAATTAATAAATCTCAAAGTCAAACATTGCAAGTAGTTGGTGTGCATCTTGAGTCTCCCTGTTTCTCGCATGGTCAACTCTATGTAGCATGCTTCCGTGTTTCCAGCCCAAGAAATTTATTTGTCTTTAATTATACTTTTAGCAAGACGCGCAATATTGTTTATCAGGGGGCTTTGATCTAGATTTCGACAATTTTGAGAAAGAGATTTCTTCGAATTATGATTTTAGGAAGCTTGACTTTTGTAAATATATTTTGTCAATATTTTTTCCATCATTATTGCTCTACTGTAGTTTCATCAATAAAGCTTTTTTTTTTACTTTATTTTGTTTTTTCTCCCATTTAATTCATTTGCATAACTCTATTCTAGAGAATTGTTATTTTATGGTGTCAACATTTCTGGTTCAATTAATTTTTTGGTAGCCTGCAACACACCTTATGATAGCTCATTGCATTTATCAGGATAACTTTGCTGTTTTGAATTTAACACCATTAGTATTTTTATGACTCTGCAATATTGAACAGAAAGTTAATTCTACATACTCATAATATAGACACAATTGTATTATAGTTGTTTCTATACAATTCTACATACCGTAATTTTTTTATTATATTAGTTTGCAGAATTTATAAAAATTTGGTTTGGGTTATGTATGTAATATATCAGCGCCAAATGTTCTGTGAAGATTGTTTGCTTCTGTAATTCACAAGTTGTTATCATCATAGTTGTTTTAAATATATATAACTTGCATTATATTCTTATTTATTGCATTCATTTAATTTAATATTTTTGTTTTTATTTCCTCTGATTTTTTTTAAATATTCAAATATATTAATAAATATATATAACAATAAAAGTTTTCTTTCTTCGTTTCACTAAAGTTATTGCAAATGGCGACGAGGATCTAAGCGTAAGTACTCGAAGAAAATAATTTGTTTTTGGATTTAATTTTTGATACTCTTGCAAATGGCTCGTTTCCCATTTAGTGAATTTAATGAAGAGGTTGAAAATTTTAGCACGTTTTTTGAACGTTTAGAACAATTTTTAATTTTGGAAGACGCTAGCGAGGACAAAAAGAAGGCGACACTTAGGTGACACTTATATGAGGAAAGGCCTATAAGGTTTTAAAAAACTTATTGGGTCCAGAACTTCCGAAAATTAAGACCTTTGAGTAACTTACTGAAAATTTTAAATACTCGTTTTCCCCCAAAACGTTCTATCATAGTCCAGCGGTTCATTTTTTTAAAAGGATGCAAGAAACGGAAGAAAGTGTTTCGCAGTATTTGGTAGCGATTAAGCGGTTGCAGCAACTTGTGAATTTGGGAACTTTTTGGAGGACTCTCTGAGAGACAAGTTTGTGTGCGGATTAAGCAATTCAAGATTCCAAAAGAAAATTTTGTTTGAGGGAGATGCTTCCTTGGCTCGGGTGATGGAAATTGCTTTGTCCATGGAGGCGGCAGAACAGAATATTAAATTATTTCATGCAGGGGAATTGGAAAAAGCGTGGATAAGTTGCGCATTGAAATGCAAAGAGAATCGAAAAATGGAAAAATAAAATGCAAACATTGTGGAAATTTGCATAGAGACTCTTGTAGATTCAAGGACGCAGTGTGTTTCAAGTGCAGAAAAAAGGTCACATTGCCCCAGTATGTAGGAATCATGAAGTATATCTTATTAGGGAACAGGCGAGCCAACAGAATAGGATACATCAGATGGATGATCAGGGAGAGACGGAGGAATTGATACAAAAAATTACATGCATGAGGACACCACACGATTATAGAATAAATACTACGAGAAGTGACCCTCCCTATACCATAAGATTGAAAGTCGAGGAAAATTTTATAGATTTTGAATTGGATACGGGAAGTTGTCTAACCTTGATATATCGGAGAATGATTTCAAGAAGTATCTTCCAAATGCACAGTTAAAAACTATCGGAATGATCGTCAAGACATATGACGGGACAGTAGTACCAATTCTGGGCGAAGTTATCGTTAAGGTGGAATTTCAGGGCGAGATTTCAATGCTTCGAGCAGTAGTAGTCAAAGGTGAAAAAACGCCCCGCTGGGGAGAGAATGGATAAATTTGTTGAAAATTGATTATTTTGCGGTGAACCAGATACCTTCGGAAATTGCTATTGCTGAATTTTTGAAAAAGCACCAAGTTTTGTTCAATGACACAGCAGAGCCTATAAAAGGATTCACAATTTCAATGAATATTCGTGACGTCAGCCTAATATTTCATAAGGCTCGACCGGTGCCTTTTGCGATTAGAACGTCGGTTACAGAAGCTTTAGAAAATATGGTGACAAAGGGATACTTATATAGGGTGAGGAGTAGCCAGTGGGCAACTCCAGTAGTAGTGGTACCAAAAAAAAAAAGGAAATGAGAATTTGCTGTGATTTTAGGGTAACTTTGAACAGATTCTTGGATACAGCAGCTTTTCCGCTCCCCACTTAGCAAGATTTGTTTGCTATCTTGGCCAAGAGGAAATATTTCTCAAAATTAGATTTGAGCAGCGCTTACCTGCAACTAGAGGTGGCAACGAGCACCCAGCCATTTTTAACTATCAACACACATAAGGGACTTTTCAGGTTCAGGAGAATGCCTTTTGGACTGGCTAATGCCCCTAGTTATTTCCAATCTGTGATGGATAGGGTTCTGGCTGGAATAGAGGGCGTTATTTGCTATATTAATGATGCCCTCATAGCTACAGTTTCAGTGGAGAAACACTTAGCTGTATTGAAAACTGTGTTTCTGATTTGGAAAAATACAACATTAAACTGAAGAAGGATAAATGTAAATTTGTGCAAAGATATATCGAGTATTTGGGTCATCTTATCAAGGAAGATGGCATCCGACCTTTGGATCACAAGGTGCAAGCTTAACAGAAGGCCAAGAGTCCGAAAACATCTCTGAGTTGAGGTCATTTCTTGGATTGGTGACTTATTATGGAAAATATATTTCAAATCTACCGGATCTATTGAGGCCTCTTCACGAAAAGGCCTGCTTCATAAAAATAATTGCTGGAGCTGGACCAAGGAGTGTGAAGAGGCTATTGAAAAGTGCAAGAGTAGCTTTACCTCTGAGAGGTTTAGTTCCGTACGACACCACATTGCCTTTGTTTTTGGCCACGGATGCATCCCAGATTGGAATTGGCGCGGTTCTGTCTCATGTCATCGGAGGCCAGGAAAGACCGATCATGTTTGCCTCTCGAACCCTATCAGGAGCCGAGCGCAACTATTCTCAGATTGAGAGGGAAGCTCTCGCAATAATTTATGGAGTGACCAAATTCCATCAGTTTATCTATGGGAGACGTTTTACTCTGATAACGGATCATAAGCCGCTAGTGTCTATTTCAGGCCCAAAATTGGGTTAGAAATTTCGAGATTACAGAGATGGGCGATATTTTCTGTCTGCTTATACCTACGATATCAAGTTTAAAAAAACTCAGGATCATGGAAATTCAGATCTTCTGTCACCTCATCAAGTTGAGAGTGGGCAAATTTCGAGACTGGATAACATTTATGCACTGTCCTACATGGAGGATTTGCCAATCACGGCTGAAGAAATTAGAATTGAAACTCAAAAGAATGAAGTGCTATCAATAGTGAAGTGCTTAACCCAGCATGGCTGGCCTGAGAGGGTGCCAGAGCACCTCAGACCTTGCTTTCAGAGAAAACTGGAGCTGACTGTGG